GGGCGGCTCCCCTTCCTGTGAAAGAAAACAAAGGTTGCAAGGCCCTAGCCTATTTTATTGTCTTTTTCTCTTTGTTTTCACTTGAGCTACTCCAGCAACTTCTTAATTGGTCTTTAGTTCACCAGCCTCCTCCTTCTTTAGAACATCTTCTGAACTACCAGAGTTACCTTTCTTGACATGGACTGACCATTAAACAGATGGTGAAATATTTGTAACCCAAATAGTAAATCCTGTAAGTACTTACTGCTGTGAAGACTCCCCATCACCACAGAGTGAAGTCCAAACAAATTAGAGATGCCCAAGTTTTTTGCCACATGCCTCACCTGTCACCACAACCTCCATCATTCCAGCCTTGCTTGTTACAGGAACACTGAATCCTCATCATTGTTTTAGTACACTGTATACCCTTGTCAGTGACCAAAGTGTCCCCCAAATTGGGTCATTAAATCTTTAATTCTCCAATGTCTGACACATAGGATGTGTACCATAAATTTTAGGTGAACATAGTTGACCTTTCACTTCATATAATCCAAAGTGAAAGAACATAGGAAAGAAGTGTTCTTTGGTACAAGCAACATGCGCAACTCTTAGCATCATTTTATAACAAGTCTTTTTTTCTATGTAATATTATGGTTATAATATAGCATTGATTAATCTGAATACTTGTAGAATCATAGAATTTCAGAGTGAAGGAGTATTTTAGAAAGCGTTCCTTTGATTTGCAGATGAGGAATCCAGTCCTGTGCTTATGTCAGACCACACAAATAGCTTTTATCAAAATCCTATTCAATAACCAAAACTTTTTGAATTCATGGGTATTAAACCACCCTTACATTCTAGGCAAATAAAATGTGGAAGAGAACAAAATGTGCAATGTACTTTAGTTAAGAGGAAATCTCCTTAAGGACTCTTAACCTGAGTCTAGGTTGCTGAGGTGGGGAAAAGCCACACTACTTGATGAGAGATAATTGGAAGTTCAAGGATGTATGAGCTATCAAGTCCATCAGAAGAACAACAGAGTGGGTGTCGATGATTTTCTTTTCTCCAAGGTAAATGAGCCTCTTTTTCTCTTTAATAGGTTTCAGAACCTGCTGTGGTCCAGAAAGACATTTGTGGACAACATGAAAATTTATAACCACAGCTACATCTATATGCCTGCTTTTTCTATGAAGACAGGAACAGAGCCATCCCTCCGGGTTTATTATACACTGTCAGATGTTGGTGCCAATCAAACAGTGCTCTTTGCTAATCCCAACTTTCTGCGTAGCATTGGAAAGTTCTGGAAAAGTAGAGGAATTCATGCCAAACGCCTGTCCACAGGACTCTTTCTGGTGAGCGCAGCCCTGGGCCTCTGTGAGGACGTGGCCATCTATGGCTTCTGGCCCTTCTCTGTGAATATGCATGAGCAGCCCATCAGCCACCACTACTATGATAATGTCTTGCCCTTTTCTGGCTTTCATGCCATGCCGGAGGAATTTCTCCAACTCTGGTACCTTCATAAAATCGGCGCACTGAGAATGCAGCTGAGCCCATGTGAGGATACCTCACTCCAGCCCACTTCCTAGGGACAGTGGAGAAAGGAAGAACTAAGCCAGGGTATTTTTGCTAGGTTTTCTACAGGACTGCAAAAGGAAGTGGTGCAGTTATTTCATGGATTTGCCTGGGCCACTTGCAAACAGCAACCGCAATCCAAAGGAAACTCTATTTTTAATGTTGGCTTGGAGTACAAATAGGAAGATGTTTTATGAAGTATTTGATAGCACATTGTGGATTTGCAACATTCTGATGAAATGATTGTTGGTCAAGCACATTTACATGGTTCAAATCGAGAAGGTACAGTTCACAAGTAAGGCGGAACTCTAATTGTTGAAGTTGAAGAGTTCATCAAGGTTAATAAAGGAAATGCCAGGGCAGAGTGTTACTGATTATCAATATAAGCTGGCTTAATTTAAAAAAAAATTACTTACGAAGACTGAAATTCAAACCATAGATTTTTTAAAAGTTATTATTTATTTTTATCCTATTTAGGGGAAGTGAATAGGTAATGGGGTAGATTTTTTAAAAATCCCTTACTGAGTATTAAGGACACAAAACAATACAGCTGATATTGTGATTTGTTGAACCAAGTGTATGTTAACTGTAGTCCCCCTCCATTTAAAAAATGTTAAATAAGAATTACTTCCTGCTCCTTTGTCAAGTCTGTTTAGACAATGTGAAACATTGTTGAATTTAGACTGTGTTGGTTCGCAGTCTGAATAACATGAACCATTTTTCCTCCTCCTCAGAATGTAGGGCATACATTCAATTTTAGGTCTGCATTTTATAAGCCTGTTTGCATTATTGTTATTTTAGTGCACAAAGAGTACAAATGTGAATGCGTTATTTATTTGCAAATTATTTGCATAATTGTCTTTATAATTTAATGTTCAGAGATGAAGTAAAGCACAATGTGGTAAACTTAGTCTCTGGAAGACAGATTGGAAGGCTCCTCCCTTTTCTATCTATCATGGTATATTCACTCTGAGATAAAGCATACACACACACACACACACACACACA